CACATTTAACTGTTTGCCCTTTTCTAATGTCAGTGCCTAAACAAGGGCTCTGAGTCCCACTTTTTGAGACCCTTAGGGAAGGAGGTTGGATTCAGTGATCTGCGGTGAACTGACATCTAAGTAACATGCCTTTCAGTGTCCTTCAAGGACAAAACTACTTTCATTAATGAACCATGCATCTTCAGGGTGTTGGATGAGCAGGTCACTGATGTCACCTATCTCCTTGCTTATGTCTAGGATATCACTTGTTCACAAGAACAACAAACCTCTATGCCTAGGGAAGCAGTGTAACCAGTGCAAGTCATTATGATAACCTCGGGGATATCTAAAAGCATGGTCTCATACTTGGTCAACCTCTACTGTCAGCTACAAGTAGGCTTTCATCTGAAGAACAGCCTTGATCTGATAGGCAGTCAGGACTTCTAGTTTTGTACTGAATTTTATTTCATAGCTTTTCCCATTAGCACAGCTGTGGCTGTTGTTGCCTTCAGCCAGGGTCACCATGAGCAGCCACTATATCTAACTTTTTTGAAAAATAGACTACTGGATGAAGTTCTTATCCCGACCTTTGGGTTAAGACACCCAAAGAAATTCTCTTCTTTTCTGAAATATAGGGAAAGAAGGATTTTCTTAAATCAGATAGCCCTAATGCTGGAGCCTGAGAAAGGATATGTTTTATTTCCCAAAATCTACTGCTACTCACTTTTGTCCATCCTATGTGCATAGCCTTAGGACCGTTGAAGTTGCATACAAAGACTTTGCTGTTAGTACAAAATTAGGGGTTCAAATTCAGCTGAAGACAGCCATTCCTAGGAAGCAGTTAAGCTATTATTTGGTGACATTGGGCTGCACATTACAGATAACCTGGGTCCAGACCTAGACAGGTATCATTTTCTGAGTATAAAGATATATCCCTTGTATTGGACTTTCTGGATGGTTATCTACTTTGAGACTTTATATCCTTTCTTAGCTAGAAAATTAAGGTTTTGGGTAATATGGTGGACAGTTCTGAAGTCTGTCTGCAAATTAAAATATCAGCATACTGTAGAATGATTCTGTGTTTAAGCTGTAGGTTTTTAAAATCTCTTTCTAGTACCTAAGATGAGAGCTACTTCTAAATCCCTATTGAAGAACTGTCTACATACACTACTGTTTTTCCCTTGAAATGAGATTTTCCCATTCAAAGCAAATAGAAACTGAGGATCTAGATGGAGTGGAATAGAAATGAAAGCAACTTTAAAGTCTAGAACTGCAAACTCCAGAGCTGCAGGGGCTGGTAGGAAGGTGGTCTGAGACAGGCTTCTGCTCCCTCCATTGACAGAACTCAGGGACCTGAGACCAGCAGGAAAGCTAGAGACACAATAAGACTCACGCTAGAGTTCACATGATGGACAGGCGGGACTAGTGATGCAGGAAAGTCCAAAGCAACAGAAATAATAGGAGCCAGCAGGTGGTAGGTTAGGTGAACCAGCTTTGTGCTTGGGGACAAAGACATATGCATAGAAGTGGTAGATAGTGCCACCTTCTTTTCCATATTTTTTTTTTCTTTTTAAATGGCAGGGGAGAAGAACTGGAACCACAGGAAACTAATCCCATCCCCAAGATACAAAGATCAGACCCAAACCCATCTGCAGTCTCGGCTGGAATACACATCTGAGATTGGGCTTGAACCTGCCACAGAACCACAGACACCAGAGGAATCTCTCTACTTTCATTTCTCTCTGTCTAATGGGTTTTCCTCTTGGTAGCCCACTGGGCTAGTGTGTTCATTTTGCTGTTTACTTTTACTTTATTTTTTGTTGTTAGTTGTGTGTTTCTTTTCTCTCAGTTCTGTTTGACTATTTTTTCCTCTTTCTGTTGTTTGCTGTTTTATTTCTGTGTGTGTGATCATTTTTGTTTACTTTTTTCTTTTTTCTCCTCTTTTTCCTTTCCTTATCTCTTCTTCCTTTATTTCCCTCTCATTCATGATTAGATCTCTAGACTTTCCCTTTGTATTATTCCACTCCTCCTCTCCCTCTCTCTCATCAGCTATCTTGCTTGATCTTATGAGACTTTCATGTGGGTAAACATTGTCTCTTCCCTTTCTGATTCACATCAGTATCTCTAGGTTTTCTCTTCCAATCCCTCCCTCTTATATCCTATATTTACCTGAAACTTGGATAATTGTCTTGTGCCCACCAAATTTGCTCCTATTGTAACTCCATCCACCCCTTCATCCTACTTTCTACCCCTCTTAAATCCCCTCCCCCAGAACAGGGCAAAACCACTCTGCTAAGTGGAAAAACGTTGCATGCAAGTTTCTGGTATAAGTTGGATTATATTATATTATTTAAAAACTTGTAGTACAGTTATAGATAGCAGGCAGTTTGTCAGTAGCCAGGATATGCTTGAGTATACTGTTACTGCTAACTGCATTACTTTAAGCAAGGTGCCATATCTATTATAATCAGTTTTTTCTCCCCTGTACAACAACACTGAGATTTCAAGGGATCATAACCATCACTACAGTCCAGCACAAAAGGAATGGCCCTTGAGTCAAAAAGATAGCAACTTCACATTCTTAATATATGAGGAAGGTAAGTTGTTGAGATAGAAAAAGCAAGAGCAACCTATATCTTGAAGACATCTTTGAGGAACAGGTATCAACTAGAAAAGCCTCAATAAAAGAGATAAATCTGTCTAACATAGGAAATCTGCAAACACTGAGACAGAAAAAAAAATAAAACAAAAAATAGAAAATGGCACAAGAAAAAAGCAAAATGCCTCAAATGCCTGGCACACCTAGGGCAAGCCCAGAGCACAAAGAGACAGAGGAAATCGGAAGCCAACAACTGGAACTCTCTGAGATGATAGCAGCAGAAGTGAAAAAACAGATGGAAGAGGACATAGAAAAAATAATACCTAAAGCACAAAAAGAAGTGACAATCAAGATGAAAGAAATGAGAGCAGACATAAAAAATAGAGGCAATTAGGAAAATGATGGAAATCATGAATGCCCAACATAAATAAAAATGGAATCAATGAAACAGATCCAAACAGAAATTCAGGAGACTAAAAACTTCACTGAAAGTATACGCAACAGATTGAATGCAGGTGAGGATAGAATGTCAGACCTAGAGGACAGGAATGCGGCTAGTGGTCAGGAAAAGCAAGACATCTTAAAAGTAGAAAGGGGCCATAAAAAAATCAGTCCAGCAGTTACAAGATGAAGCAATGGAGAACAACTTAAGATTTACTGGAATCAGTGAGAAAGCTGGAGACAGCACAAATGTCATTAAAAATCTCTTCACAGAAATAATGGAAGAAAACTTCCTAAATATGGTTAAAGAATTTGGCATATAAATAAATGAAGCATATAGAACATCAAGACTGAAATAAATCTACACTAATACAATTAAAAATCAAGATTCTAGAAATTCAACACAAGAACAAAATATTAAAAGCAGCTAGAGAAAAGAAACAAATCACCTATAAAGTAAAGCCCACCAAAATTACAGAATACTTCTCAATACAAACCTTCAAATCAAAGAGAGCCTTAAGTGAGCCTCAAGCCCTAAAAGTAAACCATCTTCAACCCAGATCGATATACCCTGCAAAAGTACCTCAATTTCAACAGGGAAATAAAATACTTCCATGACAAAGAACAATCAAGAAAATTTAAGACCACCAAACCAGCACTACAGAATGCTCTGAAGGATATATTAGGAAGAGATAACAAAGACCACAAACACACGAACATCAATAGAAAGAAACTGCCAAGCAGGGTAAGGATTTAAACAGCAGAAGAAGACAGGGAACCAACAACAGGAAAATAACATGAAAAAGATAAGCTGATGTGTATCAGTTATAACCATCAATGTAAATCATCTCAACTAACCAATTGAAAGAAAAAGATGGAAGAATTGATCAAGAAACAAGATTTGTCAATATGTATATTCAAGAAACACACTTAAGCCAAAAACAAATTCATACACTAAAAGTCAAAGGATGGAAAACAATTCTCCATGCCACAGGAACCAAGAAAAAAGCAAGGGTAGCTATTGTATTTGCCTACAGTGTAAACGTTAAGCCAAAACAAAGAAGGTCACTACATACTGGTTAAAGGAAAACTCCAGGAACAGTTAGCAGTCATAAACATATACCCAAACACTGGTGCACACGACCACACTAAACAAATATTAACAGACAGAATAACCAAATAAGCACTAGTACAATTGTAATAGGAGACTTTAATACCCTACTTGCAAATAAATAGGTCAACTAAACAAAAAAATCAACAAAGAAGTATCAGAATTAAACTAAGCCTATTAACAAAAGGACTTGGTGGGTATCTACAGTGTCCATCCCAAAACATCAGAATTCACAGTCTTCTGAGCTGCACATGGGACGTTCTCCAAAACATACCACATACTAGCCCACAAAATACATTTAAGTAAATTTAGAGGAATTGAAATCATTCCTTGCACATTATCTTTCAGAACAATTAAACTGGAAATCAACAACAAAAGAAATCACAAAAGCTACACAAACACATGGAAATTATACAACACACTTCTGAACCACCAAAGGATCATAGAGGAAATTAAGCATGAAATTAAACAATAATGCTGAAACAATACATCAAAACTTATAGGATGCAATGAAAGCGCTAACAGGGAAATTTATAGTGATAAACTCTCATATCAGGAAAATAGAATGAGCTCAAATAAACAAATATTAAACCACAAACTTCTAGGAAAAGAATAAATCAAACCCGAAGCTGATATGGGAAATGAAATTATAAAGATAAGAACAGAAATTAATGCAATACAAACTAAAAATTACAAGGAATAATAAGCTGAAAAGTTGGTTCTTTGAAACAACCGTGCCCCGTACCTCCTGGCCCACCTGTTACCTCCTGGGTGGTGTCCCCAAATATACTATCTGGTCAGGCAGGGACCAGCAGTGTTTCCCAAGTTCTTATCTGTCTCAATCAGATAAGAATTGGTCAGGACAACTGGTGGATATGGAAGATTACATTTATTTTAGGGCAGAAATAAAAAAAAAAAGAAAGGAAAAAGACAAGAAATACAAAAGAATTGCTCAGGGAGAAAAGGGTGCTTTGAAGGAAAAAGAGAAGACATTTCTGCATGCAGAATGGATGCTGCAGGAGCAAGAGGCCAGTGGCCACAAGTCAGTGACTGCTGTCCTTCTGCATCTTGGTAGCTGATTCAGATGGTTCCACTTGGTCCCAAACAGGAAGACTGATATCAGGTGCCAGGTTCGACGTATTCTCAAGCCAGAGGCTGGTGCTGGCTAATGGGTTCAGCTTGATCTGTGTCAGGCTTGGGTGCTGCCATTCAACGCCATGGTTGATAAGTCTCCTCCCTTGGTAGGTCACACTGGGCTGCTCCAGCCATGTTGCCACACCCCAGTCTCCTGCTACTGTGAGAGCCTTGCAAGTTGAGGAACTAAGGAAAACACAGGGATGAGAAGCGCTCACTTGTGGCTGGATAACAAGTCACCAACACAGTCAAGAACAGAGCCAGGAGCTTGACTTTGACCTCTGGAGCTAGCTCGGCCTTCTCCCCAGTTGCACGATGGTGAGAGGTTGTTTCCATCACAGATGGAGATACACACAAGGTCGCAGGGAGCCAGTCCATAGCACAAGTACATGGAGACGTGGCCCATGAATTAAGCGTCCCGATGAGGGTGAGATAGGGTACAGGAGATGGAGGAAAACAGATTCAGCAGTGGCTCAGGTTTTTTCTTTTGTATCTTGCTCCTTCAAGCTGCTGAAAGCAACCTGAAAACCCTACAGAGAAAATTCTCAAGTCTCATGCTGAGGATGTCTGGCAAAGCTACTTGCAGAAGCTCATGATAGCAGGCAGGGAAACAGGACACTGAGACGGTGGTCCCACAACTTCCTCTGTACTCCTTGCGCCTTCCAGCAGCCACCTGCTCACCCCAGGGATGCGCATCCTGGAGGCTCTGAGGAGCAAGACGTAAATGGGAGCAAGGCTGGGTTTTGGGGTCTCACAGAGGGGCACCTGAGAGACCAGCCATGCGGGCCAGGTGTGCACATCCACAGGCCAGCACTCAGCCCAGCAGTGTTCTCCCTGTCAGGGACTGGGCCTTGACCAGAGTTGCATCGCTAAACTTGAAACCTGGTCCCCATCAATCCACGGCCACTGGATGAACAGCATGGTGCCATGGTGGCAGACACAAGGAAGGTGAGCTCACCTGGCTTCATTTGCCAGAAAAAGAAGACCTGGAGAGGAAAAAGAGACAGTGTCAACACTAAATGCTTCTTTCTCTGAATTCTTCAGAGCTCATCTGATCTCTTCAAGGAGGACAAGGTGATTTTGTCCCTTTTACCGAAGGAGAGACTAAAATGACAGGGGGACAACAACAGCACACACATCTGTTTTATAGCCACTCTTTGTATGTGCCAGGTGCATGCATCAAAAATTATTTAAACACTGCATAACAGTATGCACACTCTGTGCTCCTATTACCTTCATCTTACAAATGGAGGCAACAAAAGGCTAAGTAATATGTCTGGAGGCACAGACCTGGGAGGTAGCCGAATTGTAATGTGAGCATCCTGGTTTCAGAGGCTGGGCTCTCTGCAGTATCCTGTCCTCCCTCCCGGGCTTCTGGGCAGAAAATGGCTCAGCAAGGGCCTCTGCTTTCATCACTTCCCCACTACTCTGGTCTGCATCCAAGCCCTGGGTCCTGAGAGCCCTCTGATTCATGAGCAGGGTCCCTTCCCTTGTAGACACATCAGGATGTCTTTTGCTGTGTGATGACCCTTGCCACACAGTAGGACTTTTACAATGTGTTCCATTTTCCATTTTAACTTAATCTAAAACTCGGTTGCTTGTAGAGTTAATGTGGACGTCCATACAGGTCCTGAGATGAAGCCTGGTGTCAGCTGGGAGCCTGTCTGCCATAGCACCTTTCCAGGGCCAGGCCCTGGGACCAAGGCCCCCGAGGAGGCCATAGAGGACCTTACTCACTGGCGAGTCCAACCTGCCCCAGGCCTGGATGCTTTGACTCCTGCGGGAGCCAATGTATAAGGATCTTACTTGGCCTGGCCCTGTAGGGGCCTATGAAAACCACCACTGGCACACGCTCGCCACCTGCTGGTCATATAGGAGAAGTCCCCGGGTGCTAGGGACTTGTCAAACCTCAGCTCTTTGCTCTGAGGAAACCTCGTGTTCTGCTTGCAGCTGAAACAGAATAGAACAACAACAAAGCAGTTACTGCTCGTGGGTGCCAGTCACAACACGATACACACAGTGTCAACATACATTATCAAACTCGGCCTCCTCGCCAGTTTCCTTTCATAATGTAGGTATGGTTATCCCCATTTCATGGATAAGAACATGGAGGCCCAGGAATCCTAAGTACTTCATGGCAACTGGAGAGAGCAGATCCCATGGCAGGTCTGAAGCTGACCGACCAAAGCCTGTACCTTGTCCAACCAGTCCAGCGACTCCCATCAGAAGCCTCTGGGGAGGCACCTTGCCGTGCTCCCCATCTGTGCCACACCCTCATCCTGGGCTCACTGTGCCAGAGTCTGCAGCTGTCAGCCAGCATGGGGGGCCATGAGCTAGAAGGAAGGAGGTTCTCCTAAAGCCCGCTGCACCACAGTGAGGCCTGACACCCAGGGCTGTGCTGCTTGATGTCAAATTCTGTCACACTCTGGACACTGCTCTCACGCTCCAACCCCAGGGACTCTTGGTGAGCATTTGCCAACCAAATCAATCTCCATGGAGTGGCAGGGTCAGAAGCTGGGATTTGCACATGGCTTGTTGGTTTCTGATTTTTTAAATGCACACAAATACCGACTATAAATATGGACACTCCAGGTACCTCCAGTGGGTACAGCCCTAAGTTAGGTGCGGAGGGGTTGTAGGGAAACTTCATGTGACCCTCAGCCCCAGGGAGCTCAGAGCCTCACTAAGGATGGAGAAAATCATCCTGACCTTGGAAGCTGATGCCATGGAAGGGCAGAAAGAGTTCAGGAAGTCAGCAGAAGCTGACGAGGAAAGAAGCCTTCAGTGAATAGACGTCAGAAGACGGTTCCATGGCTGGAGGAAAGGGCACTGGAGCTTTCTCCTTAGGCCCTGAGCTAGCAAGAAGGCCAGCAGACTGGGGTGGCAGTCCCTGTTACCCCAGGGGATCGGAGAGAGGGTTGAATTCGTTAACAGAGGCTCTTGAAGGCTGTTGTAAGGAGCGTGGATTTTTATCATTTGTTGGTCTTTGGACAAGAATCTGTTGAATAACATCAAGCACTTCTGAACTTGAGGAGAGGTGTTCGCCTGAGGCTGACAGTAGAGGCCTGTGACAAGAACAAAACGGACTCTTAGGAGAGAGACAGCTTGGCCTCAGGGGAGCTGAGGCGGCTTGCAAAGATGTGACACTGACCTGAATCTGAAGGATGTCCGGGCGTGGGAGGGGCAGGGGAGGAGAGCAGTTCTGGGAGAAAAATTACTGTGAGCCCCGGCTGGAAAGGTTGGTGGGCATTAGCAGAGTGCTGGGTGATTACACTGGGCCAGCAGGAACCGTGGAGAGTTTCTGTGCCATGCTAGCAGCTCATCTCCCATGGGCTGGACGGAAATCCTTCAGGGGTCTCCACAGGCAGTGGAGGACCCTCCTGTGCTGTGGGTGTGCTGCTCTGTCCATGGCATAACAGAAGGGCTGAAGACAAGCTAGTAAAGGGAGAAGGTAAAAGGTGTCACCATTGGGACCTGCTGCTTCAGGCAGCACAGCCACCTCCCTGGTGCTGGGGGCAGGGACATCCAGGGGCAGAGGGAACTGGCTTTGCAGCCATGACCCCTGGTTCCAATTCTACCACTGCCTCCTGCCACTGCGGGTTATGTCACCCTCTGTGATTGGAACAGTGCTGTCCTGAGGATCATATGAGCACATCCTCCCGAAGGACTTAGAGCACCCAGCCCTGCCCACTGGCTGGTACCTGGAGCGCCCCATCTACTGTCTGCTGTGTAAACCAAGCTGTGAATACGTGCACCTCATCAGTCTTCCTGCGGCACTTGCTGCTGAGTGACCACTCAGAGCCTCAGGAAAAACCCGAGTTTGGCAGCTGAGAGAGCTGGGCAGAGGTTCACAAAGCCCAGGAGTAAGCAGGGGGTGTGGAGTTCTGGGTGGGAGGCATAATGCATTCCCCTGTCCTCTTCCACTGTGCTGCCCTCTGCTCTTCCATGAAGGAGATGCAGAATGGACATTACTAAAGGGGAGGGGTGGCTGAAGAGGGACCAGAGACCCTGCTCCTGGATAGATGCCTATGACTCAGGCTCCCAAGCTTTCTGGGTCACAGACTCATGGTTTTATTTATCCCTGGGCACTCCAATAAGGAGCAAACCCCTCACCAGCCTTACCTCATGGAGCAGGCAGCTTGGGAAACACCAGCTCATGTTGTAGGGAGCAGGGGGTCCCCACAGCCTCAGAGGGTCTCGTGGAGACTTGAAACAACAACCCAGCAGCACCTGGAGAAGACAAATGGGGAGACGCTGGAGAAGCCAGTTGCTGCCTACCGCCCCACGCCTTCCCCTCACTCAGCTCCGAGGCATGCGCATCCCCACTGCTCATCCCCGAAAGGCCAGAGATCAAGGCTGGCCTGGTGGACAAGTGACACTTCCATCTGTGAGGCTCCATTTCCTACTCCTGAAGCCCCTGGTGCATGTTCCTGGGTTTCCTCAGTCCTGGTCTTCAGGAGCACCAATGCACAGAAGCAGGGTTTCTGCCCCCGCCACTGTTTCCCTGGGAGTCTGAGAAGCTTGGTTTCCTCAATGTCCAACATGAGCATTGGTCTTGGTGCCCCCCACCATTCCCACCCTGGTCCCTTAGGTAAGCACTTGTATTCACCTTTGGGAGACTCCATTGGTCATCGTTAGTGTGGCCACCTGGGATTTCCCACTTCTAACAGTGGCCTATGGTTACAGGGCCTGGCAATGGGAATGTGGGGGTTATGAATCAAGGAAGTGGGGAGCAGCAGATCTCCTCTCTCCCTCTGCACAGCCAGCTCTTTCTGAGCATCCTGGCTTCCCCGGCCTGCCACTGGGCACAGCCACCTCCAGTCCTCCAGTGTGTTACTTACCCCCTGGGCTCTTGCTGGGGGCCTCTGCTCGGCTTGCTGGTGATGAGCTGAGCTGGTTATTACTGGCCAACGGTGGCTCTCTATGAAAGGTCCTCTGGCTCTGGACACAGGGCTGACTCAGAGTGGTCCATCCTTCCTGGAAGCTCTCCACTCCTGTGCTCAGATCTGCCGTGAGCCCCACGCTTCACACACCCACACACAGGGTGACTCCAAACTGGAGGCAGATATTCACATGCTCACCTGGACTAGGCACCTCGCCATTCTCACAGCCCAAGGGACAGAGAGAAAAACACTTCCAGGGCAGGAGAAAGGACGATACTCCCAGGACAAAGGATGATGAAGTCACTGAGGACTGAGGGGAATCCAAGTGGCCATGGTGAGGGGGAAGGTGAACAACTCCTTCCCCTAGTGTCCCATGACCTGTGGCCCACACTCTGCCCTCACAGCAAGAGGACAGCTATCAGAGAAGCAGGAAGGCAAGGCAGCACCAGCCGCTCCTGTTCCTCCAGCTCAAACCTCACAGTCTCGTCTCTGTGCAAGTCCTCCTCCTTCTGCCCTCTTTCCCACACGGCTAAGGGTTAAGTCTCTCTGTCTCTCTGTCTCTCTGTCTCTCTCTCTCTCTCTCTTTCTCTCTCTCCATTTTTCTTTTTTTGTCTTCTCTTCCTTTGTTTTGGTAAACGAGATGGAACCCAGGGTCTTCACCCTGAGCTATGTCCCCAACCCTTTTTAAATCTTAGTCTTGCTAAGATGCTCAACTGACCAGGTTGGGCTTGAACTTACGATCTTCCTGCCTCAGGCTCCAAGAGTGTGGGGTTTATAGACATGAGTCATCTTGTCCCTATGTAGGCTTTAACCTGCTGAATCTCCAGACTTCTAGTACTCCACTGGATCACAGTCTAAAGGAGTATTGGCAAAGTAGGGGACACCAGACCATCAACATTTCCCCTGCCATACCCCTCTGTCAACCTGTGCCTAGAGAGAAGTGCTTCAAATGGCTGTTTGCCCATTTCCCCTCTTTCATAGATATGGGGGTGAGAACCAAATGTAGATCCAGATTCCCAAATGAAGAAGCTGGGAAGTTTGTGCCCTGTGTCTCATTTCGGTGACTAGAGGGCAGCTCCTAGAACCAGGCTCTTTAGAACCTTTTGCCTCAGTTTCTCCTTCTGACAAGATGACATACTATGGTCTGTGTAGACTTGTAAAAATCCAAGTATTCATAAGCCCTAGGTTACCTGCTCAGGACCAAGAGGATTAGGAACTGTGAAGACCTAGCAAAGGTAAAAGGTGCTTAGGACTTGGTTGCCCCCTCTCCTCCTTCCTCCTCACGTCCACACAAACACTATCTTTTGTGGACTTCAGGCTGAGTGTGCACTCTTACAAAGTCAGTGGCATACTTATCGTTGAAAAAGGACCACTCACTCTACCCGTCAGACTGGCAGGGACATCAGGGAGCTGCAGGAGCTGACAAGTGAGGACTGATGGGTTTTCCAGCTCAGGTTTGGGCTGTCTCCACCCTCTGGCTGGGTTGGACGTGAGACCCTATGATGTCATGACTTGGTCAATGCCCAGGAGGCTGGTCAGTCATGAGAGCAGTACTGTGAGCTTCAGACAAGATGACTGCAGCCTGCAGATCCAGGGTCCTTTCCCCGAGCTCAGCCACCCATCTACTATAAGAGTCTCCTCCTTCAGCACCAGCTAAGCCCAATCTTAGCCCAAACGTCTTTTGGGCTTAGAGACCATACAGATTAGGGAGCCGTTTGCCCATCAGCATTATATACATGTAAAGTGAGGTTGTGATTGGATGCCACCATAGAGTCTGCATTCCCTGAACAAAGCCATAAAAGCACAAGAAACAGATATACACCCAAATGTGCACATACATGCATGCACACACACACACCTCGCTCCACCCCTCAGGATCACAGGACCCTGATTGCAGCTTGTAGGAAATTCTGTCAACTGTCCCAGGGTCCTGAGGTGATAACCCTTCCTGAGGGCCACTAGCTGGGAGCTGCATGTGCAAAGCCCAGCACTGCAAGGAACCATGCACACAGAAGCCCACAAGCTACCATCATCTACTGTTAATGACCGCGCTGTGCATGCAATGCTGTTCTCCACACTACACACACCCTTCATTCTCAGGAAGATCCCGAGGTCAGTATATGGACACTCGATCTACGGTTAGAAAACTGAGGCACAGAAGTACTAATTGTCCAGCACCACCCAGTGAATAAGTAGCTGGACCAGAATTTGAACCCAGGCAGTGTGGTCTGAGTGCCGAAATGCATAGGTGCAGTGTCCTGTCTCTCTACCCTTCACATGGCATAGCGCATCTGCTGGGATGGAAGGAATCGAAAGGTTTTCTTCATGTGACAGATCCTGGCAAGCCTCAGCTTATCAGCATCAAAGCACTCACTATGGTTTTCACTCTGGTTCCTGGAAGCTGCAGTGAGAGCCTCCCTCCCTCTCCCTCCTTCCCTTGTTCTTCCCTCCTTTCCTTCTTTCCTTCTTTTTTTTCCTCCCTTCCTTCTTCCTTCCTGATGTCCACTTACCTAGACAGAGTGGAGTTCTCAGGTCTTTGGGGTTCAGAGGAGAGCCTCCATGGGCAAGCGATCAGCTCCCAACACTCATTTGAACAGATTCTCTCTCTCTCTCTCTCTCTCTCTCTCTCTCTCTCTCTCTCTCTCTCTCTCTCTGTCTGTCTCTCTCTCTCTCTGTCTCTCTCTCTCTCTCTCTCTCTCTCTCTCTCTCTCTCTCTCTGTGTCTCTCTCTGTATCTCTCTGTCTCTCTCTCTCTCATTTGGCTGGGAGAGCAGAGCATCACTGCTTTTATAAAATGTCGAGTGTCCATTGCCAGTGGTAAGGGTGAAGATGGACAGCACCGCACCTGTCTTGTGTGGCCAGAGCACTGCTGTCCCCAGAAGCTGTCACGTGGGCCCTTCTTTGTCCCTGAGGGAGGCTGCTGCAGCCACAGGTCCTGCCACCAGGCAGTGTTTCTCACCATTACAGAGGTGGGCGTCATCCCAGAACCTCTCCGGATGAATACATGACCTCTCCAGTCACATTAGAGATTGTTTAAGCACTGTTTGATCTTTTAACTTTAGTATACTCTTCATGAATTCTGTTCCTTTCATATCATTACTTCATCTTTTAGTTTTGGTTTCTTTTTAGTACCAGAGAGTCAACCCAGGACCTTTACACCAAGCTACATCTATACATCCCTATCCTTTTTTATTTTGAGATAGGATCTTGCTCAGTTTCCCAGACTGGACTCCATTTGCCATCCTCCTGGCTCAGCCTCCCAGGTGGCTCAAATTACAGATGTGCTACGCTAGGCCTGGTTTTGTTTCATTATTATTCTAAATTGCTTCAAAATTTTTAGAGAGTAGCACGATTATCCAATAGACACCTGCGTGTGCAAACATCTTTGCACATCTACTGTATGTTGCCATGTATGCCATGGTTCACCCAGAGTCACAGTGATTCAAGAGGGGGAAGCCAGGTCTCCTACAGGCACTGCTGTGCCCTCTCTGTTTACAAGACACTGTGGGTCCTGCCCACTCCGCCACTGAATTCTCTGCTCCTAAGTAGAAGATTTCAGACACAACTCTAGGCAGCTATTTCTTAACCTGAGGAATTTACACTTGAGTGGAAACTTTTAGGAAACCAGATGGGGAGTGTGTGTGTGTGTGTGTGTGTGTGTGTGTGTGTGTATGTGCGTGCACACGTGCGCATGCACTCATGTATATTTAACACGTTTTTCTCTGAATAATATTCAGTATTGATGGCTTCACCTTGATCAGTCCTATGTGCCCAACTACACGTTTCTGCTTTCTTCACTTTTCTCTCCCTTTCCTTGAGAACCAGCAGGACTGGGTTATGTGGAAAGGGTGAGCCAGCTGGGAGTCCGTGAGTCCAGGAGGGGAGCTGGAGGCTGTGCTGGGAAGAAGAGGGGTGCAAGCCTCACTGGATGATTCGGGGTGGAAGATGGAAGGAGAGGCTGTGGAGCATGACTGGGAAGGGGCTCCGGACCCCAGGGAGTTGAGCATCCTGTGCATCCCCAGCGCCCCTCAGGGCGGCCCTCACCTTGCCTCACCTCCCTGCAATGCCAGAAGGAGGCAGCCTCAGTCTCTGTGGGCCAAACTGCCAATGGGAAAGCTCATCCCTGGCCTCATTTGTAGCTTTGCCCTCAGCGTTCCCAGCCCTTGAAGCTCTGAGGGGCTGCTGTATCCTGTGACCCAGCAGCCTCCCTTCCCAGTCCGGCTGGGCCCAGACAGCCAACTGGGACCTCTGCTCACAGGGGCCAGCCTGGGGATGTAGCAGTGGGGATCTGCACTATGCAGGCCATCGCTAGGCAGGATAACTAACTCATTTGGTTCATTATCTACAGAGGTTGGCAGATGATGTGCAAGAGGCGATTATCAGCAGCACACACACATTCCTGGAAAGAGTGGTCAGGTGATCTTCAACAAAGCTGAAAGGTGAAACCACTCCTGGCTTTCTAGGCCCAGGGGGACTCACCTGCTTGGCCAGGGCCAGGGAGAGGAGAGTTGTAAAGAGATTCAGATGGGCCAGCTGTGCTCAGGGCACCATGATTCCTTGGGTAGCCCTGACATTTCTCTTCTATTTGATAGAACAATTCTCCAAATCCCACCATCCTTCTCTGCCTCATTGCAGATAAGATCTCCCAAGGCCTACTATAGTAAACTTCCTAAAAACACAATGTTTGTCACATTAAGCTCTCCATTGGGGAGTGGAGGAAATTATTTATTGTCTATATTCCAAATTCAGCTCAGACTGGTGTCAAAATGCTCTCTGAATACATGGGCAGACAACAGAATAAACAAAACATAGTGAGGAATATCACTTGGCCATAAAAAAGAACGAAGTACTGATGCTTGCTAAAGCATGAACGAACATTGAAAACATTACGGTAAATGAAAGAAACCAAACAGTCAAAAGGCCACAACATGGTAAGATTCTACTATACAAAATGCTCAAGTAAAGCAGATATAGAGAGCTAAAGAGGAGACCAGTAGTTTTTAGGCCTGAAGGGCAGGAGGGAGGAACCTGAGATTGACTGCTTATGGGCGTGAAGTGATAGAAAATCCTAGAATTAAAGTGACAAAGATCACATCACAGTGAAGATACCAAAGCCAACAAGTCACACACTATAAAAGGTGAATTTCAATTGCATGGATTAACACCATCTTCCCTGAACTCAAGGCAGAGGGTAGGGTGGGAACTGCCAAGACCTAGAACTGCAGCTCCAGGGAAACTCTCTCTTCATTGTCAACAGTCTTGGCTATGCAGCCCTGGGAACGGGCCTGACACCAAAGTCCAAAGCCAGGAACCTTCCAGAACGTTCTCTGGGCCAACTTGTTATAAAACCAGCACTTGATGCAAGTTAGGACCGCAGAGAATACACACATCCTTCCACCTTTCCTTTTGTTGACTGAGTCACCAATCAGGTGAGCTGCTTGCTGAAAGGCTCTTCTCACCCAAGCCTGTTCTAATCACAAAGGAAGGCTCAGGGGTTTCAGCACGCACCAATGTGGAGCAGCAGGTTTTCCTCAAAGAGCTGGACTACCAAGATGACCAGTGAGTGGCTGAGGATTTAGCTCAGCAGCATAAGCACCTGTCTGGCAAGAGCAAGGTGGTGAGTTCAATCCTTGGTACCCCCCAAAAAATATTCTTTAAACATGAAATATTTCTTTATATCTCATTCATCCCTTTATCATCAAGTCCAATCATTCTACCTCACAAATCACTTGTCTGGAATTAAGATTGTTTGAAGCATTGGTTTCCATGCCCAGTTTTATAAATTTTACAATAATTCATGATTGCTATTTGAGTATTTTGAAATCGTCACTACTCTTATTCCCAAGGCATGTTGAATGTGAGCCTCTTTGATTCTGTTTCTCCATCTAAATAGAAAGGAGAAACACTCATCGGTAGAATTCTTGGGGAATATTACTTCCTTTCTCCATCTCTGACTTTTCATAACCTGTTCTGACTGTTAAAATCTCCTCATTTAATTTGTTCTTTTTATTTCATTATTTATTTCACTGAATTGAGAAGCAAAGACATCAAGAAACTCACTTTATTCTCTCTGTGTAGTTCTCAAGTCTAATTGGGGACAAGGAGTTTCAGCCTCAGGGGGTTGTCTGTGGACTTGTGGTCCATGGCACTGGCTGGTATGAAAGGAGAAGGGTCCAGGACAACAGGGCACTGGTCTCCGGTGCCAGCTCTGTTCTTGCTTACTCAGTAATCCTGGGAAGGTTATTTTCTGGGTCTCAGTGTCTCTGCATGTAAATCAAAGGTTCTAGGATGGGTGACTTGGTCCAAGATCCTACGGTTCCACTATGTTCATCCTGTTAATTATCACAGTACTGTCCTGCTTCCACACTACCAACCATGAGGGTGGCTTCTTTGAGCCATTGTGAATGGTAAAAAAAAAAAAAAAAACACGTATTACCACCGAATTGCTCCAGTGCATTCTTTATGGAATTAGCACCAGGCCAAATGCTGCAATTTGCTAGGAAACTGAGGGGCAGGTAGACTACCTTCATCAAGTTCCTTTCTGGTCCAGTTTCCAGCTGCTTTGGTGTGCAAATCTACAGACCCGCATCAGGGCATGGGACAGCGGGTGCAGAGGCAGGGGGTGCATGACCCAGGCTGCTGGACCTGAGTCTGTTTGGCTGGGACCAAGCCAGAAAATGCAATCTCATGAAGGGCCCAAGGCAGGGATGCAGGCGAGAATGATGTCGGTGTTCTTTCCAGAAAGGTTTACATCTTCACCTTCTTCCTATGGCTAATGCCAGGGCTGTGTTGAGAAAAGATCAGGGACCCTTGGCAGCAATGCACTGTGGCACTACTTAGTTCCACTAGGGTTGCATGTTCCTAAATACCAGTTATTCTGTTTCTGCTCACAGACTCCAATTTCTGAGTAGTACAGCACCAAAACCTGCATCCTAACTCTCAGATCTATTGTCAACATTGCCATGCCACCTTACCATGGCTTCGCGCTCATCAATACCTGAGCTGTCTGTCAGAGTGTGTTACGTGGGTGGTGCCCAGTGGACATGTTTCCCAGTATCCATGCTCTTGCGTGGTTTCCTCACCACTGACTCTGGGTTTGGGCATGGAGTTCCTTCAGCGAACGTGACATTCGCAAGCACTATGCAATCAGAATCCTGCAAAGCACCTTAGCCTCTTGCAGACCCTGGGAACTCTGGAACCCTGTGCCTCTAAAGGTTCAGTTACCCTCTGCAGACACTATCTAGAGAGAGAGAGAGAGCTTGGTTAGCTCCTAGCTGGCCCAGCCATCCTGGCAGACACATAAATGAAAAAGCTGTGTGGAGCGCTCCAGCCCCAGTAGAAATCATGTGAAGCAGAAATGCCCAGTCCAGTCCAGTCCAGGCAACCCCCAAAATCAGGAGAAATAATAAGACACTGTTGATTTATGTCACTAAGTTTGGGGAATGTTTTGATACATGGCTACAGATAAATGAAACACTGAGACATAGTTAAAGCTGAACTAATTGCATCGAATTAATCTTTACGGCTTTTTCTCCTTTTAATGATCAAGTGGAAGAGTCTTTGATCCTTCCAGTTGAAAAGGACTTCAGCTTCTGCAGTTGTAGCCAGGAAGATGTCGCCACCACATGACAGGCAGACAGCAGGAGACATCACTTGCACCAGCAGCACTGCCGGAACTTGGCTGTTTCACTAAGCTGCCCAAGGCCAAGAGGCTCCAAAGAGAGGGGACCAGGGGTTCAACCCAGTCTAACTACCCAGCTCCTTCTTTCCCATTTTTCTATTGTGGGGTCATTTCAAAACACAAAAGCTCTGGAAGATCATTAACTAAGTCCTCATTTAGTTGCGCTGATTCCTTGACTGTCCCGGGGAGGGGAGTGCTGAAAACACCTCATTCTTTTTCCCAAAAACCCACACTCCCTCTAAGGAAACCTCATGCTCCAATGGACTTGCCTGTATGAGCATCTGAGGGGCGAAGGGGAGGCTTTGCAATATTTTCCAGCTCTTTAAGGTAGAATTTACAAATAAAGTTGCATATATTACACAATGTAATGTCTTGATACACGTGTAAATTATGAAATGACTACTGCAATTAAGCTAATCAACATCTGTATCACTCACCTAATTACTTTGTGTACAGTAAGAATATTTAGGATCTACTGTCACAGTAAATTCCAAGTATACAACACCGTATTGCTGACTATAGTGACCATGAAGTATATTAGGTCACAATAACTTTTGCATCCTGCCTAAAACTCTGTACCCATTAAAATATCATTCCCTGTTTTTCCCCGTTGCCCACCCAATCTCCCACCATTCCAGCTGCTATCCTATGTCTGTGACTACCCTAGGTACTTCACAGCGGTGGAACCAACCATATGACATTCCTGACTGGTTTGCTCCACTTAGCATGATGTTCTCACATCTCATCTGTTCTGTAGCATGTATTGATATTTCCTCTCTCCTTAAGGCTGAAAACTATTCTGATGTGTACACACAAACACATGCATGTATCACATTTGCTTTATCCTTTCCTCTGTTGATGGACACTGGGGTTGAGTCTGAATCTTTGGTTTTTGTGGAAAATACTGCAATGACCCGATGAGTACACATAGCTCATCAAGAGTACTGATGTCATTTCTTTTGGATGTATACCCAAAAGTGGGATTGTTAGATCTATGATTTGATTTATTTGTCTGTTTGTTGTCTGTCTGTTCAGAGGCAGGGTCTTCATATGTAGTTTAGACTGGCCTTGAACTTATAATGCCCCTGCCTCAGCCTCCCAAGTGCTGAGAATACAGGCATGTGCCACCAGGCCCGGTTTATTTTTGAATACTGAGGAACCTCCATACTCTTCAGCACGAGGGTTATATCATTCCAGCAGTGCATAAGAGCGCCCTTCTCTCATGTCTATCCAACACTTGTTATCTTCTGTCTTTTGGATAACCATTTAGCAGATGTTAGGTGAGAACTGCTTGTGTTTTCATTAGCATTTCTCTGATAATTAGGGATGTTAAGCATTTTTGTGCATCTCTTAGCCATTTGTTTGTTTTCTTTTGAGAAACATCTATTTGGGTCCTTTACTCATTTTATAACCAGGTTATGCGTTTCCTTACCACTGAACTATTTGCTTTCCCTCTATATTTGAGATACCAACCCCTACCAGATGTGTGTTTAGAAATATATTTTCTTATTTTGTAGGCTGTGTCTTTCACTCTGCGCATTGCTTCTTTGCTGGGAAGAATCTTTGTGAGCTCTATACAATCCCATTTTTCTGTTTTTGCTTTTTTTGCTCGTGCTTTTGGAGTCATACAAAAAATTAATTGCTCAGATCAAAGTCAAGAAGGTCTCCCTTCCTATTTTCTTCTAGTAATTTTACAATTTCTGGTACGCATGCACTTAAGTCTTTAATCCATTTTGAGTGTAATTTTGTACGTGGTAGAGGATTAAGTTCCAGCTTCATTTTTCTGCTTATGAGAATTTAGTTTTTTTAATACAAATTTATTAAAAAATCAAGTTATTTCCCATTGAGTGTCCTTAGTGCATTTTTAACCTAAATGTGAGGATTTATTTCTGAACGTTCTATTCTTTCTCATTGCTCTCTATGCCTGCTTTTAGGCCAGTGCCATACTTTTAATTACTACAGCTTTACAGAATATTTTAAAATCAGGTACGTGGTGCCCCCTACTTTATTCTTCTTGTTTATGCTTATTTTAAATATTTGAGGCCCTTTGAGATTCCATAGAATTTTTAGGGGTTTTTTGGTCATTGGAATTTCCATAGGGATTATTTTGGAACTGTAGATTACTTTGGGTAATATGGGCATTTTTAACAATATTAATTCTGTCCATGTCGGATCATTTGATCTACAGTGCTCAGCCTGCTCTTTGCTTCCTGATTTTCTGCCTGGATGCTCTGTCCATTCCCGAATGTGGGGAACTAAAGTCTCCTCCTGTTATTCTGTTGCTATTTATATCTCACTTCAGATCTTACTAATATATTCTTATATATTTAGATGTTCCATGTTGGTCATGTAATGTTGATTTTTCTTCTTGAAAAATGAATCCCTTTATCATTACATTTCATTACATGACAACCTTTTATCTCTTGTTACAGTTTTTGTCTTAAAGTTTATTTTCTCCAACATAACTAAGAGGATGCCTATTCTGTTTTGGTTGCTGTCAGCTTGAATACCTTTCTATTTCCCTGTCCTTCCAGCCCATGAATGTCATAAGACCCACGGGAGTCTCCTGCGTGCAGCCAACCGTTGGATCTTACTTGTCGAAATCTGTCCATCCCACCAGGTCAGGCCTGGTTCCAGAGTGCAGTGAGATTCAGAGGTCGATTTGCTACCTACCCCTGGGTGTCTGTGATGCACAGCAAGGCGGAAGGGAGGGATGACACATCCCTCCACCCCCTCAATGCATCTTTCCCTGTCCAAGTCCTGTCACTTCTCACCTAGCTTCTTAGCTCTTGGGAAGGTATTTCTGTGCATGCATGATTGTTAGGATTCACGCTGCAGTGCAGGAACAGAGTTCTGGAGAGTTACAATCATCACCATACGGATACCAGTCTTCACTTGCTGTCTGGATCATGCTGTGGCACGCACTCGATAAATATTTCTTTGAATGAACAAATGAAGAGAGAGTGAAACTCCAAATCTAAGGCCTTGTGTTTAAGTATTTGGTGATCAAACTTGGATCTGTGCTGTGTGGTGCAGCTTGGCTCCAAAGGCCAGGACACCCACCATTTCTCAGGCTTGCAGATCTGCTCATCGCAGGCCTGCAAGCGTATGCTTTTCCCTTTCTTGCCACTAGAGGGCAGGCACAGCTCATGCACTCAGCACCAGGCCTATCTGCCCCCAGGCTCCAAAGTCACCTTGGGCACAGGCCTGAACCAAATACTACAGGGCTCTGTGCAGATCCAGTTCAGAGGTCACACAGAGATGCTGAATGGAGAAAAGGGGCAAGGTAAGAGTCCTGTGTCTTCAACTCTGTGTGCAAGAGATAATTCTGGAGTCTGCAGTCCCTTCAGTAATGGTCCATGCCCCTCTCCTTGCTGGGACCCTGGGCAGCGTCACTCCTCAAAGTAGAGGACATCTCCATTGTTAGAAATATGCTGGGGAGGGGAAACAGAAGAGAAGGGTGGCCATAAGCTGGCCAGCTTGTCCTGGCTATGTGAGTCCTTGTCTCCCCTAGCTGACTCTCCAGCCACCTTGATGGAGGACAAGAGTGTTATTATTCCACATTTCACACCAGTAGACCCAGGGTCAGAGTGATTAATTAGTTTTCCGATGGTCACACCACTGATCGGTGACCAAACTGTACTTCCAACACAGGAGAGATTGGCTTCACAGTTTTTAGTATGCATTCATAAAGAAGCTGAGGTTTTAGAAATGAGAAACTTCTGGTGGGGAGAAGGTAATAGAATTCTAGAGGGCAAACACACATGCAAAGAACTCGACTGATGCCCCAACATTCCTCATCCCAGTCAACTCGTGAGGCTTAGTCCCATTAAGGGGTGAGGAACCAAGGGCAGGTGGGCAGGAGAAGGGTCCCACCCAGGCCCCGGATGGAGGGTAGACCAGGTTGGGCCATCATGACCAGAGGCCAAGAGGTCTCAGCTACACTTGTTATCCACCATCCCAATTCCTAGAGGACCTCACAGGCTCTGGAATTTTTGTGTCCCTGTGGCTTCTCTTTCCTCTGGCTCCTCCTCTGTGGATGGATGGTAGTGACCTCCCCTCTCTTGTCAGCTCTTGGACATGCAAATTAGCCTGCTTCCCCTGGCCCTTGAGGGCAAAGACCAGAGAAGGGAAAGGAAGAAGGCAAAACTGCAGGTCTAAGCAGGAATGGAGCCTTCTGCTTCTCCTTGTGCAGATTTGAGAGGGGCTGACACTGGTTTCGAGGGAGCAAGTCGTAGGTTCTTTGCTTTCCTCTGTCCTCCCAGCCCCTGACTCATTTTTGAGTCAAGCCAGTGGAACAGACTGACCTGCACATAGTGCCACGCTGGGCACAATAGTCAGTGGGGACAGAGGACATCTGCGAATGACAGTGGCTCAACCCATGGTGGCAAGAGCAGAAAGCCAGTGTAGACAATTGTGACAGGAGGGTCCCAGCTGGACACTTTCCTTCCTCTTTGGAGCTAGGACCTCAGTGGTAGGATGAGGCTGGCCAAGGCAAAGTCTCCCCTTCCCATTGCGGGAGAAGACAACAGGGTATTGCAGGCCGTTGAATCTTTACTTATCTGCTGCTGTCTCTGGAGCTAGGACCTATTTGTGTACCCATGAGAGATCCCAGAGCCCCCTGTGCCTGTGCCCACTGCTCCTCCCCAGAGCCCAACTTGAGCCAGACCAGGACAGACCCATGTTCCCTGGAGCTGCAGAAGCTTCTCCTGAGAAGATGCCACCTTGTTTCTTTATCTGCTGTGTCTGTTCTGCATGGGGCTCTGGTCAACACAGCTCCTTTCGCTGCTAATACAGGGAAGCCTGAGGCCTGTGCTCCTCCTTTGAGGGCACGTGAAGTTCCCAGAGTGTTCTGCTGATGACGATGGAACTCACAGCAGTGGTCTCCCTAAGTAATGATGCATGGGGGTTTGGTCATGCAGTGTGGGTCAGCCAGAGAGGTCCACCCAGGTATCCCACCCCCACCCCATTTATGTAGCTGAGCCCAGCTGCAGGTGGCAATGCCTTTTAAGGATGGGGGAAGTCGCTGGCACATAGTAGGTACTCAGTAAATGCTGGCTGGGAGAGAGGACTTCTAGCATGCTTGCTTATTTTTGACAAGGGAGTTTTCAAGAGCCTCCAGAAGTGCAGGTATTTTGACTGCAAGGGGAGCCAGAGAATCCTCAGACCTGCTGGGGGCAGCAGCTCCTGCTGCAGGGAGGCGAGGAAGGGAATGCAAATCGGAGAGTACCAAGAGCTGCTGAGGCTTGAGGCTCCATGACAGCAGGCTGTCTGTCCTCTGTTCTCAGAGGCTGAGCTCACCAAAGGCCTCAGTCTGCTCCCTGGGTGGGAATCAAGGTGACACACATAGGTCCTTTCAGGACACTCACTCAGCAGCCAGTTAGAAAACTAAGCCCCAGGAGACTTCTGATGGAGCTTCCAGGAGGGGAGGAAGAGGCTAGACACAGGTAAGTGGAGTGTGTCTTGTGTGCCCTGCAGCTCTAGACCACTACCAGGATGCTTGACTCCTGGGCAGAGGGACCCAGACTGAATCCACTGAGCAGCCCTTGAAGAGAGGTGAGGGGAAGGGCAGGGCCACACCATGCCATCCTCAGGCAGGTGTGTGGGCCTTGCATCCCCTCTCCAATCTCCTACCTGGGAACAGTTCTGCAGGGCAGGTGCTACAGTGTGGGTTCTGCCTGCTGCTGCCCCTCTCCCCCAGTTCCTGTGTGAGGAGTGGTCACTAAGGTGACAGGCTATGAGGCGCTAGGAACACTTAAGAGGTGGCACTTGGTGGGAGGTCCCTAGGTCAACTGGGGGCCACATTTTCCAAAGGACTAAAGTGCTTCTCAAGGACCCTGGCCAGTTGTCAGGAAAAGATTGTTATGAAAGCCTCAGCCTGACCCCATGCAGCCTCTGTCTGCCCTCTGATTTGAGATGTGCTCCTCAGTCCCCACACACTTCTGCCATCCACCACAAGACCATCACCAGAACCTGTATCCTCCTATCTGAACTATCAGGCTCCAAAAGTGAGCTGAATAGACTTCATTTGCTTATAAAATTGTCCTGCCTCAGGTGATTCATTACAGCAACGAAAAGCTGACTGATACAACCAGGTTCCAAGTGTGCCTCTGGGATACATGGCAGTTGAGAGAGACAAACCAGCCATATCCCTCCTCCCCACAACATGCTAAAGTCAAACAGAAGGTCTGGCAGTCACCCCATCCAGTCCCCAAGGGCAGACCACCCCATATATCTGTGCAAGTGATGGGCACCCAAACAACATGTGCCTCCTTTTGAGCCTCATCTATGGCATTAGGAAATGCTCATGTGACCCCTGATAATTTTGTGAATCTTAGCTCTGGTGTGCAAATCACTCACAAATGACCCCACCCTGCACAAGACCCCTTTTGGAAGTCTGGAACTCATTGCAAGTGGACAAACACACTGTGAATAAGCCAAAGGAAGAAAGGCAAGATTACTCAACTTCTTCAAAATGAGGGGTTCTCATGTTGGGGGATTTCTTAGGGTGACCATTCTATCAGGACCCAAGGCCTGCTTCTTCCTCTTCCCTGCCTCATACTGTAGAGTGTTTGAGTGAGAAGACTTTATCCAGGTCCCTCTTGTCCAGCATATGTCCAGTCAGGGAAGGTGCCAGGTCTCAATCCACACAGCCTCGCAATAACCCAGCAGTGACCAGAATCTAGTCCTGTTGGGTTCAGACACACTTTCTGATGTATTAGGTCCTCTCTGTCTCTTTCTGTCCTCGCACCACCAAACTTCCATAAAACAGCCTCTCTTCTGCCTTCCAAAAGCTCGAGAAAGGAAAAATACAAAGAAGCAGACAAATCAAAAGATGGGGAGAGAAATCAATTAATATTTGACATAAGGCAATGGTTATGTTATGTCCCATCAAGTCCCCCAAAGGTGGACATGGTACTTTCGTTACACTCCAGGCTGCAGTGGTCCAGTGTGTTCTTGTGAGGCCCTGGGTCAGGTTTTCCCTACAGCACACATGCACCCAAGTGTGTCACCTGGGAGATGGCTGGGAGCCCCATGTTTAAGTCTCCACAGGCAGAGAGCTTCAGATGACCTCCCAGGTAAGCAAAAGACTCTTGGTGCTTGTAGGAAGGGATTGCTGGGCCTCTGTTTATTTCATCATTAAAAACAGAATACATTACAAGCAGATGTTAGGGAAATGAAGCCCAGAGAAGTGAAGACGGAGGAAGTTCATTCCTCTTCAACTCAGGCCTCAGCTTTGCACACAGTGCCTGCTGAAGTGATCAGTCCAGTGTTGGGGGAGTTATTCGGGCATTTTCACGCTGCAGATAATGACCTATGGAGGATCACAAACTTGTTGAACACTGTGAGCTTGAAAGTAAAATTGGAATGGAAAGAGTCAAATAGAATATATACACTTGCAAGGTAGTCATAGTACATGCTATTTCCCAAAACATGTTCCATGTGTATGCACATGTGTATATTCATACACATATATGTACATATATATACATGCACATGTACCCTCACTGTGACATCAAATCTTATCACTTGCCACCACAAAAAGTCAGAGATTTATTAGTTTAGCCCGAGGTAAAAGATATAGGCTGGGCTCTAATTTTGGTGCTGACAAAGTGTCGCAGTGTATATTTGGACAACTGTTTTCAACTTTCTGAATTTTGTTTTTTCTCATCAGTGTACTGAGAGGGATGAAAAGACCCATCTCGCAAGATGAACAAAAGTGGACACACACAAGGCAGTGAACACAAAGAAACCAGGACCCAAAGTAACCAGCTCCAGGTAAATGTCAAGCATGAAGCATGTAGAGGACAGTGTGTACCGGAGTGTACACAGGCACACACACCAGAGCCTTCAGCTGTGCTGCCTCAGTGTCCTGAATCAACTGCAAACCTTTGCCTTTCGTGACCATTTAGACTCTGCAGAAGAACCAGAAGCTGCCTGGTGCCGTAACTGATGAACAGAGTAGATGGGGATGGACCATATGCTTTGCAAGCCTGACAGTACTGAGCAAAACTATTTGCTATATTTCTGATCGCACATTTCCAGAACTGCTTCAGGAAGCAATGAGATCATTGGGGCAAGTGTGTTCTAAGGGTGAAGGGGGATTTTGAGGGGGAACAATGGCAGCATGTCTTTTACTGTAATTTTTTTAATTTAAGCATTCATCATATTTTTAGATCACTCCTTATATGATGTGTGTATGGGTGTACGGGTATACGTAGCTGGCTATGTAGAAGGAACCCATGGTCACCCAGGGAGGGCACCTGTCCAGCAGCAGCCAGGCACCTGAGGCCCATTCGTCAGTCACTGGAGCTGGAGCCCTGTGTGGTGCTGCTAGTCTCCCCGTGTTTACAAAGCTGTGTCCTTTGCACAAACATGGGCTTTTTAGGGTTCCCTGAACGAGAAGTGGGTAGAAACAGGAAGAAGAGTCCTAAAGACAGGTTTCACCTCCAACTACTTCTGGAACAGTGGGGCTCGCAAGACTCTTGTGCCTCGCTAAACTCCTTCCTCCCAGAGCAACGGGAGGGATCAGGGGATGCTGCCTGCCTTGTTTTGTGTTGCTGAGTGAACTTCTCCAGCCCTGGAGGGAGGAAGGATGGAGTTGGGGAAGGACGCGGAGTCTTGGAGTCTTCTGCATCCAGGGATGTGAGTGGGTTTTATATTTAACAGATGACTCACCTCCGAGCACACTAGTCACTGCCTCCCAGCTCCGCTTTGGCAGCCAGGCTGCCGGGGACCTTGGTGCAGTGAGATCAGACAGAAGACTGGGAGACAGCAAGACAGCCCCAGGGATGCAGAGACAAGGAGGCTCATGGGAGAGGAAGAGATCAGGGCTGGAAACAGAAGGATGGAGGAAGAGGGCAGCCAAGCAAACCCTGCCGAGATTTCCCAGGGTGGCGGGAGATCCAGCACCTGACCACGGGGAGGGAGACAAGGAGCGCAGGCCCAGAGCCCAGTGTTTGCATATCTGCAAGCCCTCAGACCCGTGCTATCTGGCATGCAGGTGGCTCCCCGGCCCAGACCTAGCCATGGCGGCCTGTGGCAAGAGTAGGGTGTTGCCAGAATGAGCCTGGAGCAGGAGTTCAGCCAGGCTCATTGTGAAGGAGGCCCTGTGTCATGAGAAAGAAGGGGTGCACTGGCCAAGGCACCTGGGTGCGGGCCCTGAGCCACTGAAGTTGGTAGACCCCAGAGAATTGGAAACAACTAAGACCCCAGACCCATCCCAGGCTGCTCAGTCTGATACCCTGTTCGAGTGCAGAGCAGCTGCCCATCACAGATCCTTGGGATCTCATTCGGCCGCAAAATCCCTGAGTCTGTCAGTCCAATGCAGGCTTCCAGGCTTCTCCTCTCTGTGTCTCAGTTTATAACTTGAGACATGAGATGTCACTTTAAAAGGATTGTTTTAATATTAAAAAAAAAAGGAATATAAGGGTGGTGTGGCGTTCTCTGTGAGAAATCTAAATACTTCCTAACTAGAACTAGGTCAGGTCAAATGAGAGGAAAGGTGCCCCTGGCTGGTCCCACAGTCCCGGCAGTGACAAAGGTCACTCTGAAAGGAACTTCCTTTCCCTGCACCTACAACCCTCAGGGTGGTGCCACAGGGTGGTTCCACTGCCACGGAGAAGAGACTGAGGCAAGGGTTACATGATGGGCCCTCGCTGAGAGGCGAACAGGAGCACTCAGGACTCGCATTCAGGCCCAGAGTCCGTATTAGTCCTTTGTTTGATTCTGCTTCACCACACTAGCATTTCCCTTTGTCACCAGGATCCTCTGGGTCACTCTGCAGACTGGCCAGGTCCCCGCCACCAGAGCCACAGTCATGTCATTTCCTCTTCCCCCTTCTATCCAGTATGGCCCTGCTTTTAAAAAGACCGCTTCTGACCTTCTCCATGGCACACTGCCCCGGAATCTGGGTCCACTGCCCTGGTTTGATTAAGTCTTCTAAGGCCACCTAAGGCCAGGCCCAGTCCTTCTGTGCTGCCCTCCTCACTCAGCATGGCCAGGCTTCTCAATGAAAGTCTTGGCTTCTGTGCCTGACTTGGGGCTGAGCCCTGGGATTCTGTCTTTTTGTGACCTGCCTCTGTCATCACCCGTTTGCAGCTTTGCACACAGATAGCTTCGCCATGGAAAGGAGCCTTCCTCGGCACAGGTTGCCATCCCACCTGGAGTGCCAGGAAAGCTGCACCAACCCAACCAGCCTCTCCTCTGCAGGTCTGTGCTGCCTTCTTGCTCTCTGCAGATATGACTTGGCCCTGGGTTGAGCAAGAGGCTCCACAGAAACAGAGAAATACATAGTCTCTCTCTCTCTCTCTCTCTCTCTCTCTCTCTCTCTCTCTCTCTCTCTCTCTCCTCCCTTCTCCCTGTCAACCACACTGCAAGCTCCATAATGAAGAGCCAAGGGCTTCCTTTCCTTTCTATGCACCTCCTTTCCCTCACCTCACCTCTGACACACACACACACACACACACACACACACACACACACACACACACCTGCTGGTGCAGAGGACATCTGTGTGATATGCCAGGTAATACAAGATAAGCAAATGATCAGGAAACAGATGTGAGATAAGATGGTGGGAAGGGGCTGGAGGACTCCTTGGGGGAACTCTCTCACATTCTCAGTCTCTGACTCAGTTTTCTACCAGCAAATGGTCACTAGCATCTACATCACAAAAACAGTCAAGAGGATTCAAGAATGCTGCCTGTGGAGAGTGGCTCACTAACTGCTTGCTCATAAAGCACGTATAAAATGCCAGCTCATGGGCTGGGGATGGAGCTCGCTGGTAGAGCACTGGCCTAGCATGTGTGATCTTCTGGGTTTCATCCCCAGCACCACTCACAAAAAGAATGGCAGCTCATGAGCTAAGCCTACTGAAGCTATGCACGCTCCAAACATGTGAGCGAGGTTGCATCTACTCCATGTGCACGCGAGTGTGAAATGACAGGGTAATTACATGCTCAGCACAGGGGAGTTATTTAATGTCCTAAGTGTAAAGACCTTGCACCAAAAGGCACCATGGCCCTTTGTCCGTATAATACAGACTCTGTGACTCAAAGATTCAATAGAGAAGGAATGATTCCTCTAAAACACATCCTTTTAGCTGCCCTTCAAACTTGCTATTGCCTGGGCAACTATGGGGCTAGAGTCCCAGCAGCCAATGGAGATCTCTCTACTGAAGCTGATGTCATGAAACACACAAGAGAAAACAGATTGCCAGCCAACTTGTTTCCTGGCCCAACAGCCTGCTGGAGCCTGGCTAGCCGACAGTCACTTGACTCTGTTGTTTTCTGTCTAGAGTGGCAGTGGCCTTTCCACAATGCCCCCTGCATTCCCCACCAGACTCTGAGTGCCCCTGCAGGATCCAGGACCACAGTGTTTCTCTGGGATTCCAATGTGCCCCAATAGCACTTGGTGTGCAATAGGCAGTTAATTATATTTATTGAGAGTCTATTATGGCGATTCCCACAGAGGGCTTCTGGAAACACTGAAAGACATTGTCATTCTTTCCTATAATTTACTATTGTTATGTACTAATTTGTGATTGATTAAAATTGAAAAAAACCACCCCTAAATGCAGAATAGGCCCAGGGGACAAGATGCTAGAGATCTTAGGTTCTTTGTCCTCTACATATTTCCTCTCATCTGCCCCAGACTTGCTTTTATGATGTTCTGAATAAGAGAAGAGGAAGACAGGAATTTAAGTGGCCTCAGTTCTTTTCTACGAAGTGAACTCGAGGAGGTTTTGGGTGGTGCATTGTTGCTTGGCAAACACAAACCCAACTGAATACAACTTGTTCTTAGAAATCCCACCATCTACCTGACAGCGGAGATTTGGCCACCCTCATCTGGATTGTCTCTCCTGAGTGTTCACCTACCTGAGCTAGAGAGGGAACTTCCCCGTGACACATCCTGTCACCCCCCGCTTCCTCAGTTTGTATCTAGGTACCCTTAAGATTGATCCAAATGTTTAGGATTTTCTGGCAATTCATGGAAATTGTCTTCACCTTCAAAACCATTAGAAGCCTAAGATACTTGTTTGCTTCTCCTCCTTGGTTTCTATTCAACAACAGGACATTCTGCCAGAAATAACCACCCCGCTACTCTGGATGCAGTGAATCTCGTGTGGTTCAGGGACCAGATGGCAACTGCAAGATCTGGAGCAAGGTCAGATTTTGCCTCCCATGTCCCTCTCTTGCATGGCTGGGGCCACAATCTCCAGTCCTTCTGCTCTTGCCTCTCTTCTATAGTCTAGCAGAGCCAGGGAACCCCTCACCCATCCTGACTCCATATATCTGCATATACCTCTTTTGTAAGCAGCCCTTCAAGGGCAAATGCATCCTATGTGGATATATTTTTACTATGCTCAAATTTTATCAATAAGGAAAACATCAGTTTGGGTATAAAATTAGTCTACGTTTGACTTAATTTCAGTTTCCTACACATTTTATGTTGTATATCACTCTGACTCTCTGGACTAACTAAAGCCTAAACAACAAATCTACCATATACAGCATACTACTGAGCCCCCAAATATTTACTTACATTATTTCTAACCCTCATAATACAATATAAATACAATCTCTATTTCTATAGACTAGAAAATAAAACAGGGATGAATACAAGTTAAGTTGAGCATCTAAAGTTGCATGGCCTGTAAGTGGCATTTAAAGCTGAAATCCAGTGCCAAATTATATTTACCAAGATGAGGAAAGGAATTTATACATTTATAGAAAGATCTCCAGTAGCATGGCAGGGGCAGGGTGGAGAGAACAAGTCTTCCAGGCAACCAGAAACATGCATTAGCAGAACAGCACAGCTTTTGAAGAACTCAAATGCAGCTCCACAAGATGTGACAACTCTGTGTGTGGTCACAAGGGAATGGCAAAGGGCTAGAAGATGCATGTGCAGCAGAGAGCTGTTTTCTGTCTTTCTGGAGCTTTGAACCACTGAGTGAGTAAATGTGTGTGCCTGTGAGCAAGTCTGTGTGTGTATGAGTGAATACGTGTATGTGAGCAAGTGTGTAGATACTGGTGCACTTGTACCAAACATGGACGTTGATTATAAGAGCAGAGTAAGCAAAATCTGGTCATGTGATCAATTTACCCAAGGATCAAGAAATGGATCATATTGTAAAGACTCAACAGCATGGATCAGATAAGCCATTAAGCAGCTGATGTGTTTCTTGGTTACTGAAGGGAACAGTGCTAAACATTAAAATACATTGACCTGTATTCACAGAACTGCTTACTTAAACAGGCACGGCCACAAGTACAAATACGTAAGAATGGAACAAGAGATGGGTCATTGTCTTTTAATAAAAAGAACACTGTAGGGGCTGGGGATTTAGCTCAGAGGCATAAGCACCTGCCTTGCAAGTGCGCAGTCATGAGTTCCATCCCCAGTACCAAAAAAAAAAAAAAAAAACAAAAACAAAACAAAAAAAAACCGCTGTAGAACTATTTCTGCAAGCATGGCTTTCCATCGGTAAACGCATTCACCTGCGTGACCCCTGGATGACCTCTCAGATTTCTATCCCACAGCACACCTGTTCACCTATCACCTATGGCTTCCCTGCTCAGCAATGAAGCCTGTTCATCTCAGCTCTGACCCATGAGTCTCTGCACCTCCATGTGAGGACTTGTCATTTCTAGGGTAGGAGGATGCAGGTGATCAACCCATGGCCATCTAAGCTCATTAGGTCAACCACCACTTCCTCTCATGCTTCTCTAGAATTAAGAGGGAGTCTAATGGATGCATGGGTGGATGAAAGAGAACCTAGAGAAATGAATGTACATACAGACAATACTTTGTGCCTATATGAATAGATGGATCTTTGTGTGGACAATGCTATGTGTCTGTACAGATATATGAATATACATATAAACAAAGCTATGCATCTATATGGATAGATAGGTGTACATACAGTCAATGGTATGTGTCTATCTGGATAAATGGCTGCATCATATACCATAATGCCAGGAGCAGGGATGAGTACTTCTTCATAAGTGATCTGATCTGTGTGACAGCAGACCAGTACTCAGGCCTTTCTAAGAAGGAAATGATCTGTGAATAACTCCTGGAAAAATCCAGGTCATAGAGATTACAGTGTCTGCAAAGAAAGGTGACACATCTACACCTTTGTGTAGAATTAAAGTCGTAGCAAGTTGAATGATGGAGGTCTGGCCCCTCAGAGCTTGCCAAAGCTGTTGTCCTTAACTGAAGTTCAGTACTGCACCCTCAGCTTTAGGCAAGATCTGTTATGCAAAGCGCTTGTGTATGTTGTGTGTGTAGATAGATAGATAGATAGATAGTTGGAAAAATTGTTGGCTTTGATGTTCAAGGTCACACACAGAAATTCTGTATTATGTAATTATATCTTCTTTCTCATTTTACCTTGACTGGCAAGAAGCTCAAAGACAAACAAGATGATAATTGAGAACGACAAAATAGACCTGCAGGAGTAGTACTGATTTTAGTTCTGATAGACAAAAGTATTTCCACTGCAGTAAGCTGATGATAGCTATAGCTATTCACATTTATGCTTTTATCCGTATCACCCAAGTCCCTGTTGCAAGTACCTCAGATCTTTTCTAGGGGAAAGAAATAGAGAAAGCAATAGAGATGTAACAACAAGTGAGTAAAAGCTGAGTTTACGTAATGCCAGCATGTTTACTCCTAATGCAGGCAGAAACAGAACAAAAACTGTAAAGTAAGTCTTAATCCCAAAGCATTTCTATGTGGCCTGGGAATGATGTTCACTCAACCCCACATTCAGCCGTCTATATATGTACAGCTACCATGGTGCCCATTAGTACCCAGGGAGGCACACTCACCACAACTGTACGAATTTGTACCAATGCCCTCATCTCCAGTCCTCGCTGAGTCACATCTGATACAGGCCAAAATTCAGTTTAGCTTGCAGATAGGTGGGTGGTAATCTGCCTTCATGGTCAATATATATCTAGTTTTGTTTGGCCTGAATCCTGTCTCTCTTGCCACTTGCTTCTTTCAGCATGTTTGCTCCTAACATTACAGCACTGATTTCCCTGCCGGCTCATCCAACATCAGGTGGAGAAACATGCGTTCTGTATAAGCTCTGGGTGTTCCTGAGCCCTTAAGGAGCCCTCGATTGTTGTTACATAAGCAGAGTCTGTGCTTTTCCATGGAGCCTGGTCCTCACCTCCTCCACTCCCAAACAGGTACCTCAAGATGAATGGATAAAAGAAAATTAAGCTCGAGAAGTTGCACCTGAGTCTTAAACCTGCTGCTTCAGGGAGATTCCCGCTGTGTTGCTCTCAGGCACCTTGTTTCT